GGTGTGGCAAAGTTATACAAGCAGCAGGTGTGGTAGTCGTACTGAGAGAAGGTGTGGCAAAGATATACAAGCAGCAGGTGTGGTAGTCGTACTGACAGAAGGTGTGGCAAAGTTATACAAGCAGCAAGTGTGGTAGTCGTACTGACAGAAGGTGTGGCAAAGTTATACAAGCAGCAGGTGTGGTAGTCGTACTGAGAGAAGGTGTGGCAAAGATATACAAGCAGCAGGTGTGGTAGTCGTACTGAGAGAAGGTGTGGCAAAGTTATACAAGCAGCAGGTGTGGTAGTCATACTGACAGAAGGTGTGGCAAAGTTATACAAGCAGCAGGTGTGGTAGTCGTACTGACAGAAGGTGTGGCAAAGTTATACAAGCAGCAAGTGTGGTAGTCGTACTGACAGAAGGTGTGGCAAAGTTATACAAGCAGCAGGTGTGGTAGTCGTACTGAGAGAAGGTGTGGCAAAGATATACAAGCAGCAGGTGTGGTAGTCGTACTGACAGAAGGTGTGGCAAAGTTATACATGCAACAGGTGTAGTAGTCGTACTGACAGAAGGTGTGGCAAAGTTATACAAGCATCAGGTGTGGTAGTCGTACTGACAGGTGTAGCAAAGGCATTCTGACAGTAGGTATGGTAGTTAACAGAGAACAGGTGTGCCTGAATAGCAATAAACAATGGGTTAGTAGCGCGATTATTTGGAACTAAGCACCATGAGTAGGTGTGGTTGTGCAACAGTGGCAGCAGGTGTGGTTGTGCAACAGTGGCTGCAGGTGTGGTTGTGCAACAGTGGCTGCAGGTGTGGTTGTGCAACAGTGGCAGCAGGTGTGGTTGTGCAACAGTGGCTGCAGGTGTGGTTGTGCAACAGTGGCAGCTGGTGTGGTTGTGCAACAGTGGCTGCAGGTGTGGTTGTGCAACAGTGGCGGCAGGTGTGGTTGTGCAACAGTGGCAGCAGGTGTGGTTGTGCAACAGTGGCAGCAGGTATGGTTGTGCAACAGTGGCAGCAGGTGTGGTTGTGCAACAGTGGCAGCAGGTGTGGTTGTGCAACCGTGGCAGCAGGTGTGGTTGTGCAACAGTGGCAGCAGGCATGGTTGTGCAACAGTGGCAGCAGGTGTGGTTGTGCAACAGTGGCACCAGGTGTGGTTGTGCAACAGTGGCACCAGGTGTGGTTGTGCAACAGTGTCTGCAGGTATGGTTGTGAAACAGTGGCTGCAGGTGTGGTTGTGCAACAGTGGCAGCAGGTGTGGTTGTGCAACAGTGGCACCAGGTGTGGTTGTGCAACAGTGGCACCAGGTGTGGTTGTGCAACAGTGGCTGCAGGTATGGTTGTGCAACAGTGGCAGCAGGTGTGGTTGTGCAACAGTGGCTGCAGGTATGATTGTGCAACAGTGGCAGCAGGTGTGGTTGTGCAACAGTGGCAGCAGGTGTGGTGCAACAGTGGCAGCAGGTATGGTTGTGCAACAGTGTCTGCAGGTATGGTTGTGAAACAGTGGCTGCAGGTGTGGTTGTGCAACAGTGTCTGCAGGTATGGTTGTGAAACAGTGGCTGCAGGTGTGGTTGTGCAACAGTGGCAGCAGGTATGGTTGTGAAACAGTGGCAGCAGGCATGGTTGTGCAACAGTGTCTGCAGGTATGGTTGTGAAACAGTGGCTGCAGGTGTGGTTGTGCAACAGTGGCAGCAGGTGTGGTTGTGCAACAGTGGCACCAGTTGTGGTTGTGCAACAGTGGCACCAGGTGTGGTTGTGCAACAGTGGCTGCAGGTATGGTTGTGCAACAGTGGCAGCAGGTGTGGTTGTGCAACAGTGGCAGCAGGTGTGGTGCAACAGTGGCAGCAGGTATGGTTGTGCAACAGTGGCTGCAGGTATGGTTGTACAACAGTGGCAGCAGGTGTGGTTGTGCAACAGTGGCAGCAGGTATGATTGTGCAACAGTGGCAGCAGGTGTGGTTGTGCAACAGTGGCTGCAGGTATGATTGTGCAACAGTGGCAGCAGGTGTGGTTGTGCAACAGTGGCAGCAGGTGTGGTGCAACAGTGGCAGCAGGTATGGTTGTGCAACAGTGGCTGCAGGTATGGTTGTACAACAGTGGCAGCAGGTGTGGTTGTGCAACAGTGGCAGCAGGTGTGGTTGTGCAACAGTGGCAGCAGGCATGATTGTGCAACAGTGGCAGCAGGCATGGTTGTGCAACAGTGGCAGCAGGTGTGGTTGTGCAACAGTGGCAGCAGGTGTGGTTGTGCAACAGTGGCAGCAGGTGTGGTTGTGCAACAGTGGCAGCAGGTGTGATTGTGCAACAGTGGCAGCAGGTGTGGTTGTGCAACAGTGGCAGCAGGCATGGTTGTGCAACAGTGGCAGCAGGTGTGGTTGTGCAACAGTGGCAGCAGGTGTGGTTGTGCAACAGTGGCACCAGGTGTGGTTGTGCAACAGTGGCAGCAGGTGTGGTTGTGCAACAGTGGCACCAGGTGTGGTTGTGAAACAGTGGCAGCAGGTGTGGTTGTGCAACAGTGGCAGCAGGTGTGGTTGTGCAACAGTGGCAGCAGGCGTTGTTGTGCAACAGTGGCACCAGGTGTGGTTGTGAAACAGTGGCAGCAGGTGTGGTTGTGCAACAGTGGCAGCAGGTGTGGTTGTGCAACAGTGGCAGCAGGTGTGGTTGTGCAACAGTGGCAGCAGGTGTGGTTGTGCAACAGTGGCAGCAGGTGTGGTTGTGCAACAGTGGCAGCAGGTGTGGTTGTGCAACAGTGGCACCAGGTGTGGTTGTGAAACAGTGGCAGCAGGTGTGGTTGTGCAACAGTGGCAGGTGTAATTGAGAAACAGTGGCAACAGGTGTGGCTAAACATCAGTGGTAGGTGTGGTTGAGCAACTGTGGTAGTGAAAGGATTTCAACATATAATGTTATACCGCGATTGTAATAACTACCATTATAATATCACTATGATGTCATACATATATCATCAAAATAATAACTGAAGATGATCTGAACTCATCTTCAGGCAAGGAAAATTAGATAATAATACTGCTGGGAAGGTGCAGACACTACTAATGGAAAGAGGACCCCTGGCCCTTTAGCTTGAGTACTCCTAGAATTACTTCATATGAACTGTGTTGGGGAATAAATTTAACACTATTCTCAGTAAACTCAGGAAGTGACATTGAATCAGGGATGTCTGACAATTTGGGACACTAGGTCAATAGGTCAAGGAACGACCAACTCACTAATATGTTGCGAAGGTACATTTGACACACGAGGGGGTTGATCGTTCAAACATTAATCTATTTAGATTTTTTAGATGGAGTTTCCTAACTATGGTTCCATAATACAGTAAATTGAATTGATGATATAAGTTGCAAGACAAGAGAGTAGTACTTATACTCACAGTGCACTTCACTTGATCTGAGGAACCCTGATGTCTGTATTCGAGCAGTCTGGGCACCATACAGGCACACCCACACACACACACAGCCGTCTTAAGCATAGCCATCTGTCTATGTTTGATCATATGTACAACTGTTGGGGTGTGCGAGGCCCTTCGGCATCTCATGATATAGATTAGTAATCACATGAGTATTAGCAAGGCCGTAATATAACTGACAGCATTGTTACCTCCTTTGCACCTCACCTGACCTTTTTTAGTGTCTGTATGAGGTGCGATTTCTCATTAATTAAACTGGTCGTTACTGCACCCAGATATATTCCAATGTTGAAATGTTCTGCTGTTGTACTGTCTTCTTGTTGGTGGACACGAGGGCCAGGTGCGTCAAGTGTGGGTGAGGTAAAATGGCTACGTGTGGGTGAGGTAAGAGTTTCAGATGTGGGTGAGAATGAGAGTTTGGTTTAGGTAGGTAAGAGTGTCAGTTGTGTGTCTAAGATGATCAGGTGTGTAAAAGAATTCATATGTTAATAAGAGGATCGGGTGCAAGTAAAATGGTGAGGTGTGGGTGAGTAAGAGGGTCAGGGGCGTGTTGTAACAACACCAGATTATACAGAGCCACAGAACCACTGTAAAATCTGTATGTTCATTTTACTGAATTACTTACTACTTATCTGAGATGTTTATATGATATTATTACCTATACTGGTAGATAATTTCTGTTTAGTGTCAATCTTACTTCCTTGTGCCACACGAGTTATCCGACGGCTTCAGTAACTTTATTCATTTTTCTCGGTATGAATTTATAACATGAGTTTTTTTTTTTTTTTATTAAAACAGACTACATCAAGTGAGAGTGTGGAGTCAAACCTACTGTATGTACCTGTTACCTCAGTCATGGTAAAATTGAAATAGTTGAGTGTAATGCTTCGACTACTTTTCTTATTTTTAGTAAGAAGAAAGATATATAGACATACTAAATTAGTATAGTTCTACAAACACTATAAAGGTTAATATTGCTGGACAAGTGGAAAACACACATTGTACTGTGCCGTGCATTCTTCCACCCGTAATGTTTCCCTTCTACTTCCCAAGACCCCCCATGACTTCGACGCCCCTTCCCAAGACCCCCATGACTTCGACGCCCCTTCCCAAGACTCCCCATGACTTCGACGCCCCTTCCCAAGACCCCCATAACTTCGACGCCCCTTCCCAAGACCCCCCATGACTTCGACGCCCCTTCCCAAGACCCCTTCGACGCCCCTTCCCAAGACCCCCATGACTTCGACGCCCCTTCCCAAGACCCCCATGACTTCGACGCCCCTTCCCAAGACCCCCCATGACTTCGACGCCCCTTCCCAAGACCCCCCATGACTTCGACGCCCCTTCCCAAGACCCCCCATGACTTCGACGCCCCTTCCCAAGACCCCCCATGACTTCGACGCCCCTTCCCAAGACCCCCATGACTTCGACGCCCCTTCCCAAGACCCCCCATGACTTCGACGCCCCTTCCCAAGACCCCCCATGACTTCGACGCCCCTTCCCAAGACCCCCCATGACTTCGACGCCCCTTCCCAAGACCCCCATGACTTCGACGCCCCTTCCCAAGACCCCCCATGACTTCGACGCCCCTTCCCAAGACCCCCGATGACTTCGACGCCCCTTCCCAAGACCCCCATGACTTCGACGCCCCTTCCCAAGACCCCCCATGACTTCGACGCCCCTTCCCAAGACCCCCACATGACTTCGACGCCCCTTCCCAAGACCCCCATGACTTCGACGCCCCTTCCCAAGACCCCCATGACTTCGACGCCCCTTCCCAAGACCCCCATGACTTCGACGCCCCTTCCCAAGACCCCCATGACTTCGACGCCCCTTCCCAAGACCCCCATGACTTCGACGCCCCTTCCCAAGACCCCCCATGACTTCGACGCCCCTTCCCAAGACCCCACATGACTTCGACGCCCCTTCCCAAGACCCCCATGACTTCGACGCCCCTTCCCAAGACCCCCATGACTTCGACGCCCCTTCCCAAGACCCCCATGACTTCGACGCCCCTTTCGACGCCCCTTCCAAAGACCCCCATGACCAAGACCCCCATGACTTCGACGCCCCTTCCCAAGACCCCCATGACTTCGACGCCCCTTCCCAAGACCCCCCATGACTTCGACGCCCCTTCCCAAGACCCCCAAGACTTCGACGCCCCTTCCCAAGACCCCCATGACTTCGACGCCCCTTCCCAAGACCCCCATGACTTCGACGCCCCTTCCGCCCCTTCCAAAGACCCCCATGACTTCGACGCCCCTTCCCAAGACCCCTATGACTTCGACGCCCCTTCCCAAACCCCCCATGACTTCGACGCCCCTTCCAAAGACCCCACATGACTTCGACGCCCCTTCCCAAGACCCCCCATGACTTCGACGCCCCTTCCAAAGACCCCACATGACTTCGACGCCCCTTCCCAAGACCCCCATAACTTCGACGCCTCTCTAGCTAGTACAGTTCACCTTCCAACTGGCTCTTACGACACCTCACTCGTCTCGCTTTTCTAAACATCTGGTCAATATACAAATCCCATTATTGCTATCTTGATGTAACACCACTCTAATGTAACACCACTATAATGGATACTAAACTAATAATGTAAACACTACTTATCCTGAGTAACACTTCCCATCGGTTGCACTTGGTAACACTGTTATGAGCTGACATATGATGGTTACACCGGGACTACAGAGTACACTGCCAACAAGGAAATGCTAACCCAGGATTAAATACGCTGCCACCATCTGCCTTTGACCATTGAGACTATATCAAGCAACAAGGCAAGAAACATTGCTTGACTTGGAGAGTACTTTCTATGACTGTCATTAATTATGGAAATGGTTGTCAGCCACTATATCCAAAAGGCTAAGAGGATTCCACAATTGACACAGACGGGAAATTTAACATGAGTTTATTGAGACCAAAATTATATCAATCACCACTTATAAATCCTACTCTAACACTGACAAAAATTTAAGAAATTTGGACATGGAACAAAACCTCAGAGATCACACACATTACCTTAAGACCTCTGTCTCTCCCTCTGTCACCTCCCGATGTTCTCCACAGCCCTCTCTGGACCCCGGTGTCCGGAACTCTGTTCTTAAATCTCTACAGGACCAATATATATAACTCAACAGGGGGGAGGGGGGAGACTGCTGTTGCTACTTAAATCAGAAATGCTAGAGGGGTCGGGCCACACGTGCACAAACACTTAAACAATATTTCAATAAGCTTGTTTGACATTCACCATACACTCTTCAAGAGAGGAGTTATTAATTACGTGTGTGACTGACCTCTGACCTGGCCAAAAGGGGGAGATCCAAGGATGTTTACACATAAGAATCTGGGGTCTAATTCCCTTGCAATGTTTGACAAGAGTATGATGAAATATTACATACTTGAAACTATGCTGACTAAGACTAACCCAGGAATTTTTAATCAACATACAAGATAATATACAAGATAATCCGGAGGTCATCTGGGCTGACCTCTTGGAGAAGGCTTCCCTGGGTGTGAACTCTAAAAGGGGGGGGGGAGGTCATGGGTGTTACATTGATTGAATATAGGTTATAACGCCGTGGAGCCACTACAGCCTGCTTGTTCCCACCTTAAGCATGTTTGCTTTCCTTAAAAAAAAAAAAAGTATCTTTGCTTTAAATCATCAGAATATGAACGATCTTAGGCACAATAACAACGCTTTAGGAGCTGTTCACTGTTGAACAAAGTCAATGTTCAAAGTCGTTACAGTGTGATTAAGTCGGTCAGATGTAAAGATTATATATATGTAAGAGGGTCACATATGGGTGAGTAATACGGGTCAGGTTTGGTTGAGCTTGAGAGTCAGGTGTGAATGGGTAAGAGGGTTAGGTGTGGGTGAGTATGAGGTCAGGTGTGGGTGAGGAAGAGGATCAGGATGTGGGTTACTAAGAGGAACAAGTATGGATGAGTAAGAGTGTTAGGTGAGGGTACTCAGTAGATCTAGGTGTAGCTGAGTAAGAGTCTTGTGTTGGTGTGCGGGCAAGTCAGGTGTGATTAAGCAGGGCAGGCGTGTATGAATAAGCCTTTCAAATGTGTTTGAACAAGAGTGTCAAGTGTGGTTGAGTAAGAGGATCAAATTCGTGTAAAATTCAGTTTCAGTTTAAATTCCGATTCATGTGTAGATGAAAAGGGATCAGGTGTGTCACACTGATTATTACCTATCGACCTGACCTTCTTACCCACACCTGACCCCTATTCACCCACTCTGATCCCCTTTTCACCCAAACTGGACCCTTTTTTCCACCCACACGTGACTAACTTACTTATTCACTCTAAACACACGTCATTCTCTTACTCAAACACTCCTAAATGCTTACTCATACACACCTGCCCTCTTATACACACCTGCGCTCCTTACTCAACCAAACTTGACTCGCTAACACCTCAGCCGCACCTGAATCTTACTCACCAACGCCTGAACCTTTTAAGGACTTACACCTGACTTTCTTATTCACACACTTGATCGTCTTACGGTGTGGTTAGAAAATGTCAGGTGTGAGTGAATACATGGGTATGGCGTGGGTGCTGAAAACATCCAGGTGTTGATGAGTCAGATGGAGAGTTGTTGGTGGGTATAAGATGATCAGACGTTGATGAATAAGCGGATCAGGTGTGAGGGTAACAGTCATCTGTGTGTTGTTAAGTGGGTCAGGTATGGGTATGGGGGTCACCAGGCTTGGCTGTGTACCAGTCACCAGGCTTGGCTGTGTACCAGTCACCAGGGATGGTTGTGTACCAGTCACCAGGCTTGGCTGTGTACCAGTCACCAGGCTTGGCTGTGTACCAGTCACCAGGCTTGGCTGTGTACCAGTCACCAGGGATGGTTGTGTACCAGTCACCAGGCTTGGCTGTGTACCAGTCACCAGGCTTGGCTGTGTACCAGTCACCAGGCTTGGCTGTGTACCAGTCACCAGGGATGGTTGTGTACCAGTCACCAGGCTTGGCTGTGTACCAGTCACCAGACTTGGCTGTGTACCAGTCACCAGGCTTGGCTGTGTACCAGTCACCAGGCTTGGCTGTGTACCAGTCACCAGGCTTGGCTGTGTACCAGTCACCAGGCTTGGCTGTGTACCAGTCACCAGGCTTGGCTGTGTATCAGTCACCAGGCTTGGCTGTGTACCAGTCACCAGGCTTGGCTGTGTACCAGTCACCAGGGATGGCTGTGTACCAGTCACCAGGCTTGGCTGTGTACCAGTCACCAGGAATGGTTGTGTACCAGTCACCAGGGATGGTTGTGTCACCAGGGATGGCTGTGCTTGTAACAGGTGGAGCTTGTAGCAGGTGGAAGTTGTAACAGGTGGAGCTTGTAGCAGGTGGAAGTTGTAGCAGGTGGAGCTTGTAGCAGGTGGAAGTTGTAGCAGGTGGAGCTTGTAGCAGGTGGAAGTTGTAGCAGGTGGAAGTTGTAGCAGGTGGAAGTTGTAGCAGGTGGAGCTTGTAGCAGGTGGAAGTTGTAGCAGGTGGAGCTTGTAGCAGGTGGAGCTTGTAGCAGGTGGAAGTTGTAGCAGGTGGAGCTTGTAGCAGGTGGAGCTTGTAGCAGGTGGAAGTTGTAGCAGGTGGAAGTTGTAGCAGGTGGAGCTTGTAGCAGGTGGAGCTTGTAGCAGGTGGAAGTTGTAGCAGGTTGAGCTTGTAGCAGGTGGAAGTTGTAGCAGGTGGAGCTTGTAGCAGGTGGAAGTTGTAGCAGGTTGAGCTTGTAGCAGGTGGAAGTTGTAGCAGGTGGAGCTTGTAGCAGGTGGAGCTTGTAGCAGGTGGAAGTTGTAGCAGGTTGAGCTTGTAGCAGGTGGAAGTTGTAGCAGGTGGAAGTTGTAGCAGGTGGAGCTTGTAGCAGGTGGAGCTTGTAGCAGGTGGAGCTTGTAGCAGGTGGAGCTTGTAGCAGGTGGAAGTTGTAGCAGGTGGAAGTTGTAGCAGGTGGAGCTTGTAGCAGGTGGAAGTTGTAGCAGGTGGAAGTTGTAGCAGGTGGAAGTTGTAGCAGGTGGAAGTTGTAGCAGGTGGAAGTTGTAGCAGGTGGAGCTTGTAGCAGGTGGAAGTTGTAGCAGGTGGAGCTTGTAGCAGGTGGAGCTTGTAGCAGGTGGAAGTTGTAGCAGGTGGAGCTTGTAGCAGGTGGAGCTTGTAGCAGGTGGAGCTTGTAGCAGGTGGAAGTTGTAGCAGGTGGAGCTTGTAGCAGGTGGAGCTTGTAGCAGGTGGAGCTTGTAGCAGGTGGAAGTTGTAGCAGGTGGAGCTTGTAGCAGGTGGAGCTTGTAGCAGGTGGAGCTTGTAGCAGGTGGAAGTTGTAGCAGGTGGAAGTTGTAGCAGGTGGAAGTTGTAGCAGGTGGAAGTTGTAGCAGGTGGAAGTTGTAGCAGGTGGAGCTTGTAGCAGGTGGAGCTTGTAGCAGGTGGAGCTTGTAGCAGGTGGAGCTTGTAGCAGGTGGAAGTTGTAGCAGGTGGAAGTTGTAGCAGGTGGAGCTTGTAGCAGGTGGAGCTTGTAGCAGGTGGAGCTTGTAGCAGGTGGAGCTTGTAGCAGGTGGAGCTTGTATTATATCTTCTTTCCTCTGGGAAGTCCTCTACTTTTTTTGTATTGGATCTACTTTCGCAGTTATAACTAGAGTTCTGTTCTTTAATTTTCTCTTTTAGTTCATTTTCCTTTTACTCATTTGCTAAAAATAGTTTCTAACATTAGTAAAGCTCATTTGCTTCTCAGTAGTTCATCCATGCCCTTTTTCGTCAGGCTGAGAGCAGCCGCGTCCAACAACCTGATTGACCAGTACAGAAACGTCGAGGCCTGGTCGAAGACCGGGCCGCGGGGACTCTAAGCCCCGAAATCATCGCAAGGTATCCTCCGCTGTCTCATTATTTTCGTAATTCTATTATAGAACTCCATAATTTCCCTTATCTATTGCTATGTTGGTGTTTATTTCCATAGGTAATCTTCTCTAGATTTAGCTAAGGTTATTGTTATTAATGTTTGGAGGGTTGGCAGAACTATGAAGTTAAGTACCTCACAATCCACTCACTTTTTGTATACATGTGACTCAATTTAAGCTTTAACAAAATAGAAGTAATGATTGAGCTCCAGCTTCCAGTGGGGAGAGTAGTGAAGGTGGTCATCAAGGTGACGTGGGGAGGTAAGAAGCAGTCATGGCTTGGTGAGGCGTAGGGTGGACGGGTAGGGTGGACGGGTAGTGTGGACGGGTAGTGAGGACGGAGAGGGTGGACGGAGAGGGTGGACGGGTAGTGTGGACGGGTAGTGTGGACGGGTAGTGTGGACGGGTAGGGTGGACGGGTAGGGTGGACGGGTAGGGTGGACGGGTAGTGTGGACGGGTAGTGTGGACGGGTAGTGTGGACGGAAAGGGTGGACGGGTAGTGTGGACGGGTAGGGTGGACGGGTAGTGTGGACGGGTAGTGTGGACGGGTAGTGTGGACGGGGTAGTGTGGACGGAAAGGGTGGACGGGTAGTGTGGACGGGGTAGTGTGGACGGGTAGGGTGGACGGGTAGTGTGGACGGGTAGTGTGGACGGTGTAGTGTGGACGGGTAGTGTGGACGGGTAGTGTGGACGGGTAGTGTGGACGGGTAGTGTGGACGGAGAGGGTGGACGGGTAGGGTGGACGGGTAGTGTGGACGGGTAGTGTGGACGGGTAGTGTGGACGGAAAGGGTGGACGGGTAGTGTGGACGGGGTAGTGTGGACGGGTAGGGTGGACGGGTAGTGTGGACGGGTAGTGTGGACGGGGTAGTGTGGACGGGTAGTGTGGACGGGTAGTGTGGACGGGTAGTGTGGACGGAGAGGGTGGACGGGTAGTGTGGACGGAGAGGGTGGACGGGTAGTGTGGACGGGGTAGTGTGGACGGGTAGGGTGGACGGGTAGTGTGGACGGGGTAATGTGGACGGGTAGTGTGGACGGGTAGTGTGGACGGGTAGGGTGGACGGAGAGGGTGGACGGGTAGTGTGGACGGGTAGTGTGGACGGGTAGTGTGGACGGGTAGGGTGGACGGAGAGGGTGGACGGGTAGGGTGGACGGGTAGGGTGGACGGAGAGGGTGGACGGAGAGGGTGGACGGGTAGGGTGGACGGGTAGTGTGGACGGGTAGTGTGGACGAGTAGTGTGGACGAGTAGGGTGGACGGGTAGTGTGGACGGGTAGTGTGGACGGGTAGTGTGGACGGGTAGGGTGGACTGGTAGGGTGAACTGGTAGGGTGGACTGGTAGGGTGGACTGGTAGGGTGGACTGGTAGGGTGGACTGGTAGGGTGGACTGGTAGGGTGGACTGGTAGGGTGGACTGGTAGGGTGGACTGGTAGGGTGGACTGGTAGAGTGGACTGGTAGGGTGGACTGGTAGGGTGGACGGAGAGGGTGGACGGGTAGTGTGGACGGGTAGTGTGGACGGGTAGGGTGGACGGGTAGTGTGGACGGGTAGTGTGGACGGGTAGTGTGGACGGGTAGTGTGGACGGGTAGGGTGGACGGAGAGGGTGGACGGGTAGTGTGGACGGGTAGTGTGGACGGGTAGTGTGGACGGGTAGGGTGGATGGAGAGGGTGGACGGGTAGTGTGGACGGGTAGTGTGGACGGGTAGGGTGGACGGGTAGGGTGGACGGAGAGGGTGGACGGAGAGGGTGGACGGGTAGGGTGGACGGGTAGTGTGGACGGGTAGTGTGGACGTGTAGGGTGGACGGAGAGGGTGGACGGAGAGGGTGGACGGGTAGTGTGGACGGGTAGTGTGGACGGGTAGTGTGGACGGGTAGGGTGGACGGGTAGGGTGGACGGAGAGGGTGGACGGGTAGTGTGGACGGGTAGGGTGGACGGGTAGGGTGGACGGGTAGGGTGGACGGGTAGGGTGGACGGAGAGGGTGGACGGGTAGGGTGGACGGGTAGGGTGGACGGGTAGTGTGGACGGGTAGTGTGGACGAGTAGGGTGGACGGAGAGGGTGGACGGGTAGTGTGGACGGGTAGGGTGGACGGGTAGTGTGGACGGGTAGTGTGGACGGGTAGTGTGGACGGGTAGGGTGGACGGGTAGGGTGGACGGGTAGGGTGGACGGGTAGTGTGGACGGGTAGGGTGGACGGGTAGGGTGGACGGGTAGGGTGGACGGGTAGGGTGGACGGGTAGGGTGGACGGGTAGGGTGGACGGGTAGTGTGGACGGGTAGTGTGGACGGAGAGGGTGGACGGGTAGTGTGGACGGGTAGTGTGGACGGGTAGTGTGGACGGAGAGGGTGGACGGGTAGTGTGGACGGAGAGGGTGGACGGGTAGTGTGGACGGGTAGTGTGGACGGAGAGGGTGGACGGGTAGTGTGGACGGAGAGGGTGGACGGGTAGGGTGGACGGAGAGTGTGGACGGAGAGGGTGGACGGGTAGTGTGGACGGAGAGGGTGGACGGGTAGTGTGGACGGAGAGGGTGGACGTGTAGTGTGGACGGGTAGTGTGGACGGATAGGGTGGACGGGTAGTGTGGACGGGTAGTGTGGACGGAGAGGGTGGACGGGTAGTGTGGACGGAGAGGGTGGACGGGTAGTGTGGACGGATAGTGTGGACGGAGAGGGGTGGACGGGTAGGGTGGACGGGTAGTGTGGACGGAGAGGGTGGACGGGTAGTGTGGACGGATAGTGTGGACGGAGAGGGGTGGACGGGTAGGGTGGACGGGTAGTGTGGACGGAGAGGGTGGACGGGTAGTGTGGACGGATAGTGTGGACGGAGAGGATGGACGGGTAGTGTGGACGGGTAGTGTGGACGGAGAGGGTGGACGGGTAGTGAGGACGGGTAGTGTGGACGGGTAGTGAGGACGGGTAGTGTGGACGGGTAGGGTGGACGGGTAGTGTGGACGGAGAGGGTGGACGGAGAGGGTGGACGGGTAGTGTGGACGTAGAGGGTGGACGGGTAGTGTGGACGGGAGACACCCAATACATCCTGAGAGATGTTGGCGTCACATTCATCATCACGCACTCCATTTATTTTACCCTTTTTCCCTTCCGAAAAGAAAGGCCTTCACTTATTGTATGCTATAAAACATTATGTTCAAGTCTTTTCCTAAAGAGAGATGCCGTATATGGCAGGAAGCCGAGAAACAGAACGCGGACTCCGCCTCTCTCCTCACAAAGGTTATTGTCGTCTTATTGCTTTTTATTGCCGGCTTTGTTCATGTATTGATCAGAGCGCCACGACACCAGGAAGACGACACGCAGGCTTCCTCAGCTCCCTTCCTAACAGTTAGCCGATATTCCCCTTCTTCTTCTCTCATCTTCAGTCTTCTTGCCCTGTTATTCACGCTTCACTGCTGTGTGTGAGTGTGTGTGTGTGTGTGTGTGTGTGTGTGTGTGTGTGTGTGTGTGTGTGTGTGTGTGTGAGTGAGTGAGTGAGTGAGTGAGTGAGTGAGTGAGTGAGTGAGTGTGTGTGTGTGTGTGTGTGTGTGTGTGTACTCACCTAATTGTGCTTGCGGGGGTTGAGCTCTATCTCTTTGGTCCAGACTGTGTGTGTGTGTGTGTGTGTGTGTGTGTGTGTGTGTGTGTGTGTGTGTGTGTGTGTGTGTGTGTGTGTGTGTGTGTGTGTGTGTGTGTGTGTGTGTGTCCCATGAATCCTGTCCCATTTCCCTATCATATCTAGTTTTAAAATTATGAATAGAGTTTGCTTCCACAATCGGCGACTTAGTGCATTCCATTTTTCAACTACTTTCAAGCTAAAAGAAAGATAACCTTCCTAACATCTCCGTGACTGAGTTTCCAGCTTCCACCCATGTCTCCTCGTTCTGTTAATATTGCGTGTGAGCATTTTATCTATTACCTCTTTGTCAATTCCCCTGAGTATTTTATGCGTTCCTATCTCCCCCCCCCCTCTTCTTTTTTCTAGTGTCGTTAGGTTCAGTTCCTTCAGACGCTCTTTATATCCCATCCCACGTAACGCTGGGACGAGTCTTGTTGCAAACTTCTGAACCTTTTCCAGTTTCCTTATGTGTTTCTTCAGGTGGGGACTCCATGATGGTACGGCAGACTCTAACACTGGTCTTACGTAGGCAGTGTAAAGCGCCCTAAAAGCCTCCTCACTTAGGTTTCTGAATAATGTTCTAACTTTTGCCAGTGTAGAGTATGTTACTGTCGTTATACTATTTATATGTACCTCAGGAGTTAGATTAGGCGTTTCGTCCACTCCCATGTTCCTTTCTTGAATCGTCACAGGTAGGCAGTTTCCCTCCATTGTGTACTCTCCCTTTGGTTTCCTATCACCTGATCTCATTTCAATAACTTTACATATAATCGTGTTGAATTCCAGTAGCCATTTCTCTGACCATCTCTGCAACCTGTTCAAGTCCTCTTGGAGGATCCTGCAATCCTCATCTGTCACAACTCTTCTCGTTCATTTTGCGCCATTCTCGAACATCGACCTGTAGGATTTATTAAAAATAGAATTGGTCCCAGCACCGATCCTTGAGGTACTCCACTCGTTACTGTTCGCCAGTCCAACTTCTCGCACATTACCGTTGCTCTCTGGCTCCTTCCTGTTAGGTAGTTCCTTACCCATGCTAGGTCCTTGACGCTTACTTCCGCCTGCCTCTCAACTTTGATTAGCAGTCTCATGTGCGGTACTGTATCAAAGGCTTTTTTGACAGTTTAGAAATATGCAGTCTGCCCAACCTTTTATTCTGTGTGCGTGTGTGTGTATTTGTGTGTTTGTGTGTGTGCGCGTGTGTGTGCGTGTGTGTGCGCGTGTGTGTGTGTGTGTGTGTGTGTGTGTGTGTGTGTGTGTGTGTGTGTGTGTGTGTGTGTGTGTGTGTGTGTGTGTGTGTGTGTGTATTAACGTAGTTTTGCTTGCGGGAGTTGAGCTCTGCTCTTTCGGCCCGCCTCTCAACTGTTAATCAGTTGTTACTAACTATTCCCCCCCACCCCCCACACACACCCAGGAAGCAGCCCTTGACAGTTGACTAACTCCCAGGTACCTATTTACTGCTAGGTAACAGGGGCATAGGG